CTAGATAGCACTATTAACCCAAGTTATTTAAAAGTATGATTTTGTTTAAATGCCAGTAATCTCAATTTGGGTATCAAACTCTCATTCTGTCAGTCATTTTCTGCAGCTGACAGTCTAGGGACAACATGAAATTTTATAATGTGTATGGTGAAGCCATCTGGGCTATCTTCTGGAGACAAAGAGAAATGGCACTAACAATACTATGTAGAGAATTCTGAATAATTTAAAAGTCATCTTTATATTTTTAAGAAGTTTAGTTATTTTAATCCGGCAGTTAAATTTCTTGAACTCTATTACAAGGATAGTCTAGAATGCAGGGGAAAAACATACACAGAGATGTTTATGGCCCTATGACATTTATAATAATAAAAGATATATTAAGACTAGTCCTAGATAACATGAGAATAATTAAATAAACCTTGGGACATCCATTAGATGCAATATTATGTAGCTATTGAAACAAGCATGTAGAAAGAGATGTCACTAACATGGGGTGTTAATGCCACATGAGGCAGCAAGACGCAAATCCCACCTGTCTCTCTATAGGTGGAGAACATGGGCACATTATTTTAGTGTTTGTAGTAATGCACTTTCCTCGTTATGGACTTTGGGCAAGTTCTTCCAATTCTCTATGTCTCAGCTTCCTTGCCTATGAAATGAGAACAAAAACAGAATCTACCACAGATGGGCATTGTAAAAATCACACAAGTTAATCAATGTATTAATAGGATGCTAATACAATGTCCACCACTAATAGTACACTTTTTAGTGCTTTAAAACAGGAGACAAAATTGTATATGTAATATGATCCCACAACTACACTAAAAATCACCAAATTACATATTGAAAAATGATTTAACTAATGATACTAAAAAAGTTTTTATTTTCTAAAATCCTGTAATTTTTATATACTCATATAATGATGGTAAAAAAGAGCAATCAATTTTACTTTGAAACTTCACTTCCAAGTGGCTTACATTAATAGGAATATCATGTCCCTGATATACAGTGGAATTACCCATGATGTATATGCATAAATACATATATATGTATGTGTATATAAGTCTGATAGTTTATTTCAAATATCACTTTTATTTGGTAGTAATTTTTCTCTGATAACATTATTTATATGATGGCCTATTTTAAATTTGTTACTGAACTAAGTTTAACATGGCCAGAAGACCAAATTAAAGCATAGCCTTCAAACCAAAAGACTGGCTTCACTCTTAATTTCTTTTAGTTATGACCATAGCCTCTCTAGTTGCCCACGTGAAAGGAATTTCACAGCAAGAACACTTTTGGTAATTTGGACAAATCCAGTGGGTCAAACATCTAGCTGATATGATGGGTTCCCTGAAGCGGGCTATGCCCAGCTGAAACCTCTCTGATCAGTCAACTGAGCAGTTCTGGAGTCTTCTCCCAGGTACTGTACTTGCTTATTGAATTTGAGGCAGCCAAGGACTTTTGTCTAGCTAGATCTTGGTTAACTCATGGTCGGTGTGAGTCAGCTTCTCAGTCTAGGCTCAAACATAAAAAAAAGTTTATTGTCTTTCTACCCAGAAATTCCATTTCTTGGAACTTATTCCGAAAAAGGAACTGTAAAATACGTACATAAGAATGTTCCTTGAAGCCCTCTTTCTAACGGTTATACCAATAAAGCAATAATTACCAAGTTAAATTTCTGCCAAATGCCATCATAAGTTAGAATGAGGTACATCTATATGTAGTGGACTAGAATGATTGTCTTTAATAAATTAAGCAGAGTGGAAGAAGTAGTATTAGAACAAAATGAAAAGCATGAACCCTTTAAAAATTATAATTAAAAATACATGTAAAAACATAGAAATACACCCAACATTTGGAAAGAAAAACGCCAACATTTTCAGAGATTAATTAGAAGGCATGCATGGTATTGGAACTGGGGAAAAAAGATCATTTGCTTTCACAAACATTTCTTTGCTGTTTGAACTTGCTGCATCATTATATAATGAGGGAGGCAGTGACAGCAGGGTAGAAGGAGCTCAGGTCCGAGAACCATGCTACCTGGCTCAAATGCCAGTTGCAGTTCTCAGCAGCCAACACCTTTACACCTGTTTCCACTTCTTTCAAATGGAGATGACATGACCTACCTCTAATATTTTAACAGACTAAATAAAGTAATACATTTAAAATAAAGCCCAAAACACCTACCTATTATGATGCCTATTACAAAAGAAAGAGAGAAGGAAGGAAGGAAAAAAACAAAGTAGAAGGTATGGGCAAGAATGTGAAGAAATTGGAACCTTTGTTTACTGTTGCTGGGAATGCAAAATGGTGCAGCTTCTTTGGAAAATATGGTGGCTCCTAAAAAAGTTAAACAGAATTACCCTATGATCCAGCAATCCCACTTCTGGGTATACACCCAAAAGAACTGAGAGCAAAGGCTGTAGTCCTAGCACTTTGGGAGGCCGAGGCAGGCAGACTGCCTGAGCTCAGGAGTTAAGAGACCAGCCTGGGAAACATGGCGAAACCCTGTCTCTACTAAAAATACAATAAATTAGTCAGGCATGGTGGCACGTGCCTGTAGCCCCAGCTACTCAGAAGGCTGAGGCACAGGAATTGCTTGAACCCAGAAGATGAAAGCTGCAGTGAGCAAAGTCCGCCACTTCACTCCAGCCTGGTAAACGGAGCAAGACGCTGTCCCAAAAAAAGGAAAAAAAAAAAAAATTGAAAGCAGGGTCTTGAACAAGTATTTGCACATCCAGGTTCTTAAGAGGATTATTCACGTAGCCAAGAGGTGGAAGCAACCCAAGTGCCCATCAACAAATAAACGGATAAACAAAATGTGGTATATACATATGATGGAATATTATTCAGCCTTTAAGAAGAAGGAAATTCTGACACCAGCACATGGGTGAACTTGAGGACACTATGCTAAGTGAAATAAGGCAGTTACAAAGGACAAAAGCTCTATGATTCCACTTATATGAGGTAGTTACAGTCACAAAATTCATAGAAACAAAGTAGAATGGTGGTTATGAGGGATCTGGGAGTGGAAAAAATGGGAAATTAGTGTTTAGTGGGTATAAAATTTCAGCTTTGTAAGATAAAAATAGTTCTGGAGTGATGGCTGCATTGTACAACACTGTGAATGTACTTAGAAGCCACTGAATTCAACACTTAAAAATGGTTAAGATGGTAAGGTTTATGCTATGTCTATTTTGCCACAAATAAAAATAAAAAAGGCCAGGTATAGTGGCTCATGCCTGTAATCCCAACATTTTGGAAGGCTGAGACAGGAGGAACACTTGAGGCCAGGAGTTCAAGACCAGCCTGGGCAACATGGCAAGATCCAATCTCTACGAAAAAAGTGAAAATTAGCCCAGCAAGGCGGCGCGTCTCTTCAGTCTGAGCTGAGGAGGGAGGATCACTGAGCCCAGGAAGTTGAGGCTGCAGTGAGCTATAGCTGCACTACTGCACTCCAGCCTGGGCAACAGGCGTGAGACACTGTCTCCAAACATAATTAAATAACAAAGCACCTAGAGCAGTACTTGCCCAGAGTAGGAGCTCAATATATTTTTGGCAAGAATAATAACGTGATACTACTATATCATTCTTATGTTCTACTTGTTAAAATACAATTTAAGAAAACCATACATTAAAATGAGAAGCCCTCAAGTTCTTTAAAAACTTATATATTAATATTATATATTGATATTTGTTATTTATATTATATATCATATATTAACCACACTAACTGTGCCTATTTACCATATGCCTTCAGTGAAGCATTTTTTTCTCAAACTATTCCTTCCAGAAAAGCAAAGACAGTTTTTCACAGCCAGGACCTGACACTTAGCAACTACCTCTGGCCAAAGGAAACAGAGAAAAGAAAGCATTTAACACAATCATCATTTGACGTTGAGGCAGAGGCCGAGAAAACCTTCATTACACAAAGGCCCTTGGCAAGGAACAGCACTGCTCTGCACTTATTTTCAGCTCCATCTCTAGCTCCTGAATCGCTGTAGTCAACACATCATCAAAATAATCATGTCATACCACTCAGTATTCTACCCTACTGGTAAGTACCACAGGATATAATCTCCTAGGGTCAGCCCTGGTCATTTGTAACACAATTTCATGAAATCTGCAGAGAGGCAAATCCTGTAGCGTAATATGCATCTGAGAATGAAGGAACTAGACATACTGATTCAATTTCAATATCCTTTTATTTTATTTTATTTTATATTTATTTATTTTTGAGACAGACTCTTGCTCTATTGCCAAGGCTAGAGTGCACTGGGGCAATCTTGGCTCACTGTAATCTCTGCCTCCTAGGTTCAAATGATTCTCATGTCTCAGCTCCCCTACCCACCGCATAGCTGGGACTACAGGTGCACATCACCATGCCCAGTTGATATTTGTATTTTTAGAAGAGACGGGATTTCACCATGTTGGCCAGGCTGGTCTCAAACTCCTGACCTCAGGTAATCTGCTCACCTCAGCATCCCAACGTGCTGGGATTACCAGCGTGAGCCACCGTGCCCAGCCTCAGTAAACATTTATTAAGGACCCCTAGTATATCAAGGAATGTGCCAAGAAGTCTAACATATTATATTATTTAAATCTCACAATTACCCTCTGAGATATGTAACATTCTTCTCATTTTTCAAGATAGAAAACATGCTCAAAAAAATTAAGGGATTTCCTCAGGGACATGTGCTTATCAGGGGTACAGCCAGAATTGAAACCTGAATTTCAGAACCGTAAGACCAATAACAACCTGTGAAACTTAGGGACAATAAAATGAAAAAGTGAAATGGATCCCCAAATAATCATCTTATCTGAGTCTAGTGCTGGGTAACTCCACAGTTAAAACATTTCCAATAAACACAGTCTTGGTCTTTGCTATTTTTGAAGATCAGACAACCTTCTGAAACTTCCGTCAAAGTATACAAGTAAAGGAGGGAAAACAACAAAATGAACACCTCTTATATATACTTGGACAAAATCTGATTTGCAATTATCTTCATTTCCACTGAAAATAAAATGGCTTCCATCAAATAAATAAATGAGAGATTATTTTATACAAACACTTTCAAAGAGTGAAGAAATGCTGTTTTAGTCCTGATTTTCTTTAATTCTAAGTCAAAGTGTTGTCAAGGATTATCTAAAAGACAGCACTACATATGGTAAGCTACCTTTTTCTTTTTTTTTTAAGGTATCTTACCAGCCTGGACAACATCACAAAACCCTATCTCTACAAAAAATACAAAAATTAGCCAGGTGTGGTGGTGCGAGCCTATGGTCCCAGCTACCTGGGAGGCTGAGATGGGAGAATCACTTGAGCCTGGGAGGTCAAGGCTGCAGTGAGCCATGCTCATGCCACTGTGCTCCAGCCGGAGTGACAGAGTAAGACCCTGCCTCAAAAAAATAAAAAGCATTTTAACCTGCCATTAGCAAGGATAGCACTCAAGGTAACTCATATTGTAGAATCTAAATGCCCTTCTGCAACTTTTCCTGCAGGCTTAAATTTGAGAGGATTGCTCAATAACAGCTACATTCTACAAAGATTACTTGTTTCTCCCTTTGGGTTCCCTGGCTCAGGCACTGCTGCCCTTTAAGATAGTAAAAGATTCAGGTTAAGTCCCACCATTTGTTTCCCTCCTTAATTCCACCTTAATTTCCCTCCTTAAAGAAATCAGGTTGAAATGATACCTGGAAGGGGAAAGTCATATAGAGAGACACTTGGCCCAAGATTTGTGAAGGATCAGCCCATCTATTTTCCTGATGAGCTTGCACTCTGCCTTTATGAGCCTCAGGTTCTTCCTTCTGGCATATCTATGGTCCACATTCTTCCCATTTATTTCAAATGCTTTTCTTTTTTCCTCAAACCCTAGGGTCAGAATGTAATCATAACAATTAGAAAACTTCAGTGGTGGTAGGTAACATCCAGGGAGCATCTGCCACACCATAGGCACTGTGAAAAGCCCTCTCCCTCTATGATCTGCCTTCCACCTACGTTGTATATGAAGAAAGGGAGTCTTAGCTTCTGGGCTGGGGCACTTTCAGGCTGCTTGGTGCCAGGGGGCTGCCTGAAGAAAGGGAGTCTTACTGAGGCAGACTTGGCTTGGCCAACATCACACATCTGATAAGCAGAAGGTTTTAGTTCTTATCTGTCTGACTGTGCAGCCTGAGCATTTAACCATTAGGCCATGCTTTTTGAAGGGAGAGACAAGGATAGGAGAAGAACGTAGAACATGAGCTCCTTGGGGATGACACCATGCCTTGTCCATCACTGTCTCCTGCACCTACTGCCCAGCAAATGATATGTGCTCAATGAATACTGTTAGATGAATGAATGAAGGAAGGAGTGTGACCAAGAATACGGTCTTAAACTCATTCTACCTGGACCCAGGCAGGTGCTGTTGATTCACAGCATCCTGTGAGCATGAATCTCCACTGCTATTAATGGCTGGGCCCCAGAAAAACAGTGAGTCGTGTGTTTCTTGACATGGGTCAAGGAACACACACCACTTGCACTCTCAGTACCACTTCAACTGGAAGAATCAACCACCTCTTACAGCTCAGCAAATATGGAGGTGGCATTTGCTTTTGTTAAATTCTTAGGAGATAAAATCCTGCCCTTTCTGCCAGTCTCTTTCACTGAGAGCTCCAAAATTGACAATGAGTGCAGCTATAAATCCAGAGATAATATTTACTTACATATTTTCTACTTCCTCTAACAATTTCACAGGAAAATAATCCAAGCCTTGCTCTTAACTACTTCGTGTCATAAAACAAAAATCAAATTAAAAAAAAATTTCTTACAATCATTTTTGTTTGATAATGTCTCGAATAAAAAAAGGGAATGTGCCCTAAATTCTCCACATCAAGCTGCCAATGAGCACCTCCCAATTTTAGTGAAAGAATGCTTTGAAGTGTATGAATAGATTTTAATTCGAATAGTGTTATCAAACTCCAAGTGACTGGTACCCCACCATTTTCTGTTTTGACAGAGACGTTGGGATAAACCAATGTTAGGGAAAAGGTCTGCAGTGAAATGGGGAAATTGTGTAAAAAGAAATTAGGAAATGTGTGGCCAAATTTACATATAGTTTGGTCACGGCTTATTTATGACAGCATTACGTTTGTCTTTCTCTTTTACACATGACTCCACTGTGAAGTTTTTCTACGGAGATAGACATTACTGAAAAACCAATTGCAAAAGGTCTGTTAATTTCCAGAGGGGTATCATGCAAACAGCAAAAACATGGGAGTTGAGAAACCTAAAAAACATTTTTCTTTTAAAGATACAGTTTTACTGCAGGTCACCAGCAGTATTCATTATGTCTGTGACTCAGCCATATAAAAGGAATGAGAAATACCTACATCTTTGGAGAAAGTCAATCTTAAAAGCAACCTTGATTACTTAGGAAATTACTTAGGAAGCATGGGCATTAGGGCCAGTCACACACAGATCCTGACTCTTATTATATATCGTGGGTTAACTGGTTAACCTTTTAAAAACTAGGGTAAAACCATCTACAATTAGAGTTTTGGAAGGATTAAATAAGATGACTAAAGAAGTGATCTTGGTACATTCTAAGTGTTCAGTAAATGTCAGATGCTGTCATGATGGCAAAAGGCCATTACAACAATCACCAAACAGAGAATATTCACAAGGCCTCGAGGCACCAGCACAGAGTCAGCATTCATTTTACTGAATGACAGAATGCATTTCATATCCATGGATGACAAATAATGATACATCAGAGCAGGAAGGCAAGTAAAATTATAGGAATAAATGGACCCTGTAGCCTTGCAACTAACTAGTCCTCTAAAGGTTTAGCTTCATGCTCATTATCTTCTTCTCATAGTTCAAACAACCCTGATAATATTAAAGAATGGCATTTTTAAATTATTCTCTAAAAGCCTAATGACTGGTTTGGTCTAAGACCCAGGGAGGCCACCCAAGAGGCCTCAGCTCATTGCATGTGGTGAAACTGCAATCTACTGCTCAAATTCGAAAGAGAGAGTAAATGAAAAAGAAGGAAAGCTAAAAAGATTCTGTAGTTGGCTGAAAAACCAACGGCAGTTAGGCTTTGCCCCATCCAAACCGGAGTGGGGCTGCTTCTTGAATGTCAGAACTAAAGTGTTTTCTTCTCTCACACTTTTCTTAGCTGGTTCATTTCCCAATCACTTTCTCAGTGGAGTCTTTCTTTGCCAAAAGAACATGCCCATCAATTCCCACACACCACCTGTTTGTACCTGTCTCGACATCCTCCCCATCTCTCTCTATTCCTACGCCACATTGCCATTAGTGTATATTTCTAAGGTTCAAAATTTTACAAGATGCCTGTCCTATAGGAGCGATTTTCTGTTTAACACTACCAAACTGATCAATCTGTTCTGCATATATCCACCATTTTCTCAATCCAGCTAAATTTGATTAAATGAACGTCTGTCTATGCATTACTTTGTAACAGCAAGCCTTTCCTACTTTGTTTTCTGGCACCTGTTTGTCAGTTATTACCCACACTATATACCAGACAACCATACAGGCTAATCTATAGCTTTCACATCTTTCAAAGGCCATGCCCATCAAAGCCCTTCTATACCATAACTGTACATTGTGGGTGCTTGGAAAGGATGGCTGTTTCACTGGCTCACTATGAAATCACCAGCTATTTCACCAGCTCACAGGAACCTAAAGCCCGCAACCTCAGGAAACCACTGCAGTCAAAGTTGGGAAATGCACGGGACACAAGGCCAAACTGCCCTTGTTAAACTTCACATCAATATTAAAATAATGCATCACATAAAATAAAGGTGTATAAAAATTCTAGTTTTCAAAATCCTTTACTGACCACATTTGAAACCTTATGTATGCATAGCACACATATTTTTTTCAGTACTAGATGGTAGTTATTGAACGATTTAAGGTCTTATTAATACTTCCTTTCCCAGACACAGCAGGCTAGGCTAGTCAGACCAACCCCTTGCTCTCTATTAAAAACAGCTAAAGCTGGCCAGGTGCAGTGGCTCATGCCTGTAATCCCAGCACTTTGGGAGGCCAAGGCGGGTGGATTGCCTAAGCTCAGGAGTTTGCAACTAGCCTGAGCAGCATGGTGAAACCCTGTCTCTACTAAAATAAAAAACAAAATTAGCTGGTGTGGTGTAGTTCCAGCTACTTGGGAGACTGAGGCAGGAGAACTGCTTGAACCTGGGAGGCAAATGTTGCAGTGAGCCGACACTATGCCACTGAACTCCAGCCTGGGCAACAGAGGGAGATTCTATCTCAAAAACAAAAACAAAAAATTCCTAAATTTCTCAATTTAAAAGATATCCTTAAAAGTGTCAGAGGTGACAAGATAGTAAGAAGCTCTCAGGATAAAAATCTAAGGGAAACTAGGAACCCAGAGACCTAAGTAGAACATCACAGTTCCTTCTGGCCCAAGGGCATCTCTAACATGAGTTAATCCGGGTTTCTGTTTCCGCAGACCCTGGAGGAAAGGGGGAGGAATCTAGGGCCAGCACCCACCTACTGTGGAGGATATTACAGAAGACACTGTGCCTATTAAACTGAACCCCAAGATACAACATCCATAGGATGAGTGTGTGCCATACATAAATCCTACCTCTACCCCCCAAATCTAGGAAACTTCCGGGATGGTCGCCTTGGTGCTAAGCAGAAGGGAAAAAGGGAATGGAAAATAACCTCATGAAAAGTTGTGGTAAGAGACCCATGACCAAGGCGGTTATGGTCATGGGGAGTTAGCCCAGGTGGGTCTGGTAGTCCTGTGCTTGGAAGTCATGTGCTTGGGCTGAGGTGATCCTGGGCTGGGGTATCGTCCATGCCAGATTGGAGCATAAGCATAAACTCTCTGAGAGAATCATCTTCCTAGGCCTCAAGATTCTCTCTCCTCAATATTTCCTAAGAACAAAGAGTGCTATAGAATTAAGCACACTAGGAAAAACAGGTTCCATGAATCAGAATCAGAAACACACCCACAAATATTGGAACTGTCAAATGCAGATTGTAAAACAACTACGCTTCACCTATGTAAATAAATAAAAGGCCAAATAAAAAAGTATCTGCAAAGAACAGGAACTATAAAAACTGACCAAGCAGGGTTTTAAAAGATAAAAATAGAACTTTTATAAATAAAAATATATAGTAACCAAATTAAAAACTAGAAGGAGAAGAAAATAAACAGAAATAGTTGAAAGAGAATTAGTGATTTGAAAGCTGGGTCAGATGACATCTCACATATGGCCATAGAAACAGAAACAATGAACAACATTGGAAGGGAAGTTAGGACTCATAAGGGTGGTGAGAGGACCTAAAATACATTTAACTGTAATTACAGAAGAAGAAAATAGTCAGGGTAAAAAAGAAGCAATATTTAAAGAAGTAATGACTGAGAATTTTCCAGAACTGATAAAGATAGGAATTGGGTCAGGCATGGTAACTCATGCCTGTACACCTAGCACTTCCAGAGGCTGAAGCAGGTGGATCACTAGAGGTCAGCAGTTCAAGACCAGCCTGACCAACATGGTGAAACACCATCTCTTCTAAAAATATAAATGTTAGCTGGCTGTGGTGGTGCTCACCTGTAATCCCAGCTACTTGGGAGGCTGAGGCAGGAGAATTGCTTGAGCCTGGGAAGTGGAGGTTGCAGTGAGCCGAGACTGCAACACTGCACTCCAGCCTGGGTGACAGAACAGGATTCTGTCTCAAAAAACAAAAAACGATAGCAATCCATAGATTCATAGATTTAAGAAGACCCAGAGAATCTTGAGAGGAATATTTTTTTTAAATTGCAATACAGAAAGACAAAGACCAACGGGAAAATTTTGAAGCCTACAGGGAGAAAAAGGGCATTATCTTCAAAGGAATGACAGTGACTACTATCTTCTCTGTGGCAACCATGTAAGTAAGAAGACAGTGAGATGATATAGTCATTATACGGAAAGGAAATAACTGCTAGACTAGTATTCTATACTCAGAGAAAAAAAAAAACAAGAATGAGGGAGAAGGAAACTTATTTTCAGGCAAAAACAAAAACAAAAGATTCCATCTCTAGCAGAACTCAAGGATCTTCAGACAAAAATTAAGTGATTCCAAATGGAAGGTCTGGGTACAAAAAAGAATTGAAAGCAAAGAAATTGGTAACTTTGTGTGCAAATCTTAAAAAAAAAAATTGCTCCGTTGTTTAAGGTTAATAATGTCTCAAAGATTAAAAACACAATAAAAGGCATGACAAAAATAACAAGTCAGAAGAGGAAACATGGAAATCAAATATTCTAAACACCTTGGACTTTCTAGGAGGGTAAAAGAGGGATCAACAATGGATATTGATAAGTCAGATATACCCATTGTAATTTCTAGGAAAAACACCAAAATAATTAAAGAGTCCATAATTTCAAAACTAAAAGAGAAAATGCCGGTCAAGAAAAGGGAGAAAAAGAAACATAAAATAGACAAAAACAGAAAGTACAAAACAAGATGAAGACGTAAAAGCATGGAAAAATGATTATATTAAGTACATATGAAATAAGCTCTGGTGGAAAAAAGAACAAGTGTATCCGGAGTGAATAAAACAAAATCCCACCATATGTTATCTATAAGAAACACATCTAACCACATTCTACTTGTATTAAGTTTGAAAATAGGCAAAACTAAATTATAGTGTTTGGGAATATTTGTTAAATGGCAAGGATGTGAGTAAAACTAAGAAAATGTTTAGCACAGAAGTTGGTATAGAGTATATATCTTGGGCGGAAAAGTGGGGTTATGATTATCAAGGATCCTATGGAGTGGGGGGCACTAGGGAGCAGCAGAAAGTCAAAAACAGAATGTTCCAGGACAATGGGACAGCAAGCGCAAAGGCCAGGAGGCAGGAACAAGCCCAGCAAGCAGAGAGCGCCTAGGCATCACAGCAGCACAGCGAGAGTTGCCGAGAAAGATGAAGTCAGGGAGGTCAAGTCAAGATCTGGACCATGAAGAGCCGTGCACGCCAGGGTTCCCAGTTTAGATCTTAATCCAGAGCACAGCAGAGATGGGGAGAGCTCTTATGGGAACTCCAAATGGGTACATCT